CCTAGAGTAGGGGTTGGCAGACTTTCTGTAAAGGGCCAGATAGTAAATATTTTCAGCTTTGCCATCTGGTCTCTGTTGCGTCTACTCAGCCCTGCTCTTGTAGCAGGGAGGCAGTCCTGGTTGGTATGTAAATGAATGTGCATGTCTGTGTTCCTATAAAACTTTATATATGGACACTGAAATCTGAATTTCATATAGTTCTCATGTGTCACAAAAAATAGTATTATGTGTCACAAAAATAGTACTCTTCTTTTGAATTTTTTAAAACTATTTAAAAACACAAAAAAACAAAACAAAATCTTGTTAGTTCTCAGGCTCTGCAAGAACAGGCTTCAGGCTGAATTTGGCCCGCAGGCTGTAGGACACAGACCTGATTCCTGTTCAGCCACAGTGAGGCCATCCCCTCCTTAAAGATTACCATTACAATATGAATCAATTGCACTAGCCATGTGCTCGATCATATGAAAATGAAAGAAAGACAGATTACCATGGGATGACCACGGTGTGAAGAGCTCACGTCCTCAGGAGGCTCACAGGCCCCGGGCACGCACGTCCCCTTGTCCTGGCATTCACAGCCATCAGCAGTGGACGAAGAAGGCCAACCTGACTGGTACCCACAGTCCCAGCCTGTGCAGGGTGCCCACTGGGTCTGGAGCAGGATTGATTTGCTCAGCGTGCTTCAACATTCAAGACACCACTCCCTATTGTGGCTCCAAGAGCGACAAAAAGCCACCTTTCCATGCCTCATCTCCTGGCTTGGAGTCCAGCCACCCAGGGTCCAGCTTCCAGGGTCCAGCTTCTCTGACTGCTAATGGCCCAGGAGTCTATGACGTGCTTTGCCTCCACAAAGGGGACCCAGGGCTGGGGACGCACTCTGGAGGCTCACAGCCAAAATCAACCGATCACTCTGGCATTTCAGCTCACCAAGCATCTTAGTTTGCCGGGGGTAAGAACGACTTCTAGAAAACGTTTTTTAGAACACTCCAGCCCACGATGGGAAATCTGGGCCATTCCACATCAGAAAGGAGGGATGGAAGAAGGGAAATGTGAAAATACTGTTGCTTGACTACTGGCAGGTGCAGCAGCATCCGCTGAGGACGATGGCCCGCTGGCCGGGGCCTTGCCAACTGCCGGGAGCTGAGATACAAAGTAAGCGACGCGCACGTGGCCTTCCCTTTTCAAAAGGACATTTGTCAGCAAACGCACGATTCTGGGCAAACAATTCCCAGATCCCAGCTGAAGAGGAAAGGACAGCCTGGGCCCTGGTTTTCTCGAGAAACGGGCCACAGCGTGAAGGTTTCCACGCCTCCCCTCGGCGCGAAGCGGCTCCAGGCCTCTCCCTGGGAGCCGAGGGCTCTCCTGCAGGCTGCAAGGGCTGGAACACGACGTCTACAGTTGAAAGCAAATCCCAAGGCTTTGCAGCCTCGCTCAGGAGTCAGGAGCCTTCTTCTTGGAGAAAGCTACGGCGGGGGTCTTGAGGATGTCTTTACATCCCAACGCGGGGCGAGAATTCCAGGGGCCTAAGCGACGGGAAAGCGGTTGGAAAGGGTGGGTGCTTCGCACGGGCCGTGCTTGCTGGCGGGGTCTGTGTGGGGTGCGAGCTTGCGGTGAGCGCCTGCCTCTCTCCAGGGGACGACTCTGGGCAAAGCGTCGCGGCTGCCCGAGCTCCGCGCGCCTGTCG